ACACTTAAACCGCTATTAGACATTAGCATTAGGCTATTAAAGTGTTGATAATGAAGGAATTAAATAATGTGAGCTACATGTAGTGATATTTCTGTCATGAAACTTTATTACTAAATATTTAATTTCAATAATTCATTCAATTTCAATACGTTTTTCTTTTTTATTCAAATAAATCTCGAACCACAGTGCTTCGTTGTGCTGCTGTTAAACTAAATAACATTTATAGAATAATTATGAACTTAAATGAAACAATAGCGCAACATTTCGACAAATAAATTATTTGATTTGTTTTTACATTTTAATTCAGGGCGATTTAGCCTATTTAATAGAGCGAGATTTTCCCCTTGCCTTGTCCTTTCCTCATTTTTAAGCGCTCACATAGTTAAACATGTTTAAGTAGATCCTCTGTACCTCTCAGTTTCAGATGGATTAGGCTACATAATCAGATAACATTTATTAAATATTTAGACATTTAAAGGCTTTAGACATGAGCTGAGGCAAGTGGCTTTCGGTTCAGTTTTGTGACGAGCAGTTCCCGGAGACAGAGACGACTGCTAAAATGTTGTTAGCCTAATATGAATAAAAGTTTACTAGAAGCCTATTAAGTTATTTTAGCTGTTATGAGAAAAATAAATCCAAGTGAACGCGCCGCCGCGTTTGTCGAACACTAATTCAACATGCCAGAATAAAACCCGACTTTAAAACAATAGCGACACTCGACGTGATGTGCCAAAACTATAAACTTCAATATTTCATTCAAAATAATCTCAAAACGCTTTGTGACATTTTGAAAAGCCGTGGGCCTACATTAAGGCCACTGGAACCACGAACGTAGGCTACTGTAACTGAAACGCTGGTTTTGATTTTATTGTTTGTCGTTTAAACGTGCCTGTTGCATATCTTTATTTTATATATTTTATATGGTCTATTGGTGAAGTAGCCTAAGCCTATTAGCACTGATTACTGCGGAGGAAGGGGGTGGGGGGTTAAAATAATTCAGCAGAAGCAGGGATGTTTAGACCAGAAGGAAATCCCCGTCCCCCCTGGCAAATCACACCTTGCTTAAAACCATGTTTTTAAAAACGCAATGTAGGGAATCCAAAAAATAGGCTATATAGGCCTAGGCTATATATATATATATTTTTTTTTTATTATTATTATTTTTTTTTTTTACAGAACTGCTTTTGAAATTACGATTGGTATTAGATGTTAAGTCATTCTGTTGGATACTATTTGTTCCAGTGTAAAATGGAAATGCATGGCAATTTTCTTTTATAATATAAGCAAAAACTAGGCCTATATGGTGCATAACAGAGTTTTAGAACTTGACAAATCTCTCTGCATTAATAATAGGATATAAAATGCATTAATAGGGTAATATAAAATTGACAAAAGTCCTTGTTTGTGCGGGATTTGAACCCGTGTCATCTAAATGATTGAATCGTAAGTTCTTCCACTCGGCCATGAATTTACTCACTGTGAAATGCCCAAACGTTTGTTTCTCCAGTGTGTTCGCTCACATGAGCGAGAAAACGTTTTATCGTTAGCATAAAACACCTTTTACTGTTTTAAAAGACGATATCTTATCTGTATGACCAAAAATTACAGAGTAGGATAGCTTCTATCCTAGAAAGTTCTTTTAGTTGTTATGAGAAAAAATAAATTCAAGGGAAAGCGCCGCCGTGTTTGTTGAACTCTATTTCAACATGCCAGACTTTAGAATAATGCGTAGCGCCACTCAGCGTGATGTGCCAAAACACTTAATTATAAACTTCAATATTTCATTCAAAAACATCTCAAAACGCTTTGTGACATTTTGAAAAGCCATGAACGTATTAAGGCCACTGGAACCAGGATCGTAACTGAAACGCGCTGCATGTTATCTCTCAATACAGGAGCAGAAGCGCCGGTTCAGATTTTATTGTTTGTTGTTTAAACGTGCGTGTTGCATATTTTATATATATATAATATATATATTTGATATGGTCTATTGGTGAATTAGGCAAAGCATTGATTACTGGGGGGAAATCCCCCACCAGCATATCGCACCTTGTTACACAATGTTTTTAAAAACGTAGCCTATGGAACCCCATGAAGTTATTTTTTTTTCTGTTTTTTTAACAGAACTGCTTTTGAAATTACGATTGGAATTATTATACAGATTGATATAAATTCAGTCAATCTTGTGGATAATATTTGTTCCTTTGTGTAAAATGGAAAAATGCATGGAATTGTACTTTATAAGTAGGCTACCGTGTTTGGACAGGATTTGAACCCGTGTCATCAAAATTATTGAAACCTAAGTTCTACCACTCGACCACAACTTTTCTCACTGAGAATTTCCCAGAAGTTCGGTAGTTCAGCAGTCAGTGCGCGCACACGAGAGAAGCGCTCTTCTTCAATCCTCTCATTCCTCAATAGTTTAGCGTCATTGCACCTAATTGCGAGAGAGGCCTATTTTAACTTTTGATTCATAAAATGTTCTGCTCTAAAAGTTTGTTATATTCTGTTTAAATGTAGCCTACTTTTACTTTACGTTTTGCTTTCGTTTAATTTAACTGAATCTGTTAGCCTATAGGTTAAACTATTTATATTTTTATTATTATTTTTTTTTTGTTCTAAAGGTTTGTTCTATTCTCTTTCGTTTGTTTATTTTTATTTTATTTTTTACATATTCAATCAGTCTCAACTATTTCATCCTTACTGTTAATTGACATTAGCCCGTTTCAAAATGCAGCAATTGCGGCTGTTTTGCTAAATGCCCCTTTGCGCCACCTGGCGGTCATTTCGCGAAGGACTTTGAAATGCGACTAGTTTATTTTTGCCGCGGTGGATTTGCCGCGGCACGAGTCGCGGCGGTAATAGGCATTCTGGTTGAGTACCTACTGTAGTTACTAAATGTACACACTAACACCCAGAAAAGAGATACCATGTCCCATACTGCCTTTAGCCCTGGGTGGGATAACAACTCTCTCAGCATGAAAGTCTACAGCAGTCTACAGTAGTCTTCCAGGATGTGGGTAAGATCAGAAGATAAGACGCCATTACTGGTTACCAGAACACATTTGTGAAAAACTGCACCAGTGACAACTGAAGTGCCAAGAATAAAAGGTTCCAGCGTACTAAATGAAACGAAGATGTTAAGAGCTTTTTGTAAATGTGTAAATCATCTGCTATATCACTGACTAACACCTCAGAATATAACTGAAAAGTGCAAAAAGGCAGGAGGGGGATGGGATGTGCCTAATTATTATTAGGGCTGCAAAAGAGATTAAATCACATGGGAATTAGTGACAGAACATCTACAAAAGTTATACACAATCCACCTTACACCAAAACACACAAATGTAAATTTACACAAAACATTGTTTATGAAGTACAGTGCACACTTACTAAACCACAGTATACACTATATTGTAGAGTTTTCAAAAGGTACCGACGTCGGTAGTGAAAATTTAAAATGTGACGATACCAGCATTTCCCTCTAGCATTTTGAGCGCTGTTGAACAGATTCTTAAACATCTCTGATTGGCCATTGTGTTGACACGCTCAACAAATGTCTTAGCCTGGCAAGCCAGACCTACATCAAGATGTTAGGTCTGGGAACTCCCAATTGGCATACCTCAATCCGAGGGGCGGGATAAACGGTTGTCTTTCAAATTCCCTCTGCATGCAATAGGACAGCGCTACAACCAACCAGAGCAACGAACGGCTGTGGCTGAGTGAGTCCTGTGCGTTTTTCCACCAGCGGAGCTAGTTGATATTTAAACTTTTGCCGTATCCGGTCGTCAAAACTCCGAGTCCGAACACATCTTCCTTTTTTAAGAATGACTTAAGTGACGTTCTCTTAACTCCAAGTCATCCAGAGTCGCGGCCAAAGCCGATTCGAAAGACCGCTGTTCGCCAGCAGCATCTTCTTTGTTTTCAAGTAGCAGGGAATTCAAATCACCTATGAAAATCACGCGGGGGAACCGTCACAACTCTGCCGTCTTTATGTTAAGCCCGGCCAACAACTCTATACACGATGTGATTGGCCTGACCAGAGTTTGGTTTTTCCAGCTCGAATGCCAACGGAGAGTTGCTAGACCACACTTTGCTGCAAAATACTATTTGCTGCCGCTAGGGTGCGTCTAGATTTCTAGGCTACATATGTCTGTGATTGGCCATTGTGTTGACGCGCTCAACATATCAGTGATTGGCTAAGTTGATCAACAATGACATCTTTGATGCTCTTCACCGAGCGCTTATTACATAGATGCACACGGGAGCGTTTAAAAGCAGGCGTCTATCAGCAGATCCCTAATATATCAGCTGATAGACACTGCTTTCAAACGCTCCCGTGTGTATCTGTGTAAGTGCTCGATGAAGAGCGTCAAAGACAACATGTTTTTGAAGCGTTGATCACAGATTAGCCAATCACAGACATATGCACGTCAACACAATGGCCAATTAGAGACATATATGTTGAGCGTGTCAACACAACGGCCAATCGGAGGTGTTTAAGACTCCGTTCAACAGCGCTCAAAATGCTAGAGGGAACTGCTGGTATAGTCACATTTTTACAATTTCAGTACCGACTTGGTACCGAAGTCGGTACTTTTGACAGCAGTAATATATTGTATACTATATGACTTAAGTCTCACAAAAGCTGATAACTCATGATTTCAAGACCGATTTGTAAGTCTTTTCGAACGAGTCATTTGTTTGCAAACTGGACAACAATGGTCATGCAGGGAAGACAATAGGACAATGTGTTGCCTATGTTTTCTTTGTATTATTTTTCAAAGTCATTTTATCTCATTCAGGGCTCAATAGTAAAGATGACCCAGGAATAATGCAAGGGGTTCAGACAAGTTAACAGGGCTGTCACTCTCTCATCAGGAAAAATGTAGCATGGTCAATTAATTTGTATGGCTTGTGAACTTAAACAATTGATTTAGTTAAAATAATAATACTAAAAAAAAAAAAAAAAAAAAAACTTTCTTTAAAAAAAACCTCACCCATCTCTGGTGTGATGTCAATGTCTGGAGTTGGTGTGACATCAGAGGCGTCCATGCTGTCCTCATCATCGGCCTGTGCACAACCTTGACTACGAAACCTGCAATAAAAATAATATTGTGAATATTCCACAACAGCAGGGCCACAGTGTTCTACAAACACACACACAAAGCATTCAATACAGTATTTATTGTCTTATGGTTACTATGATCTTAACCATTATATCCACCATAAACAAACCACTGAACTGTTTTTACATCATGGTGCAGGGCAGAAACGAAAACCATGGCAAGTCTTTATTTGCATGTTTTTTTATGTGAACGTGCAGCATTTGGCAGTGAGTTTGAGCAGCGTTTCCTTTTTCAATTACATAATTTTCACACAAACACTTCTATTTCAAAAAGTCAGAGGTTGCCTGGCACTGGGTTATGGGTGCTACGAAAACTATTTTACTCGCAGGATGAGTGCTGCTGATATATGGGCTAGAGATCTTCATGACAGTGTGGGTCAGTATGTGAGTCTCCACCCTTCCCCCACCCGCAACCAACATGTCAACACGCGTGTAACAGCCAATGGAGGCTCAGTGTGGCCTGCAGCAAGTGCTCGGCTGCTCGTCACTATGGTTACAAAATCTAGTTCCCTACAACAGACACGATCAAGAGGTGAGCAAAAACAAAAAAACTCTACACACAGCACACTACACATACAAGCTCTTTGAGAAGCCCTTTTAGACAGCTTTTGAGCAGATACATTATTTATTTGGTTTTAAAGTAAACTGTAAAGTGTATAAAAAGTCTGTTCAGTGTGTGCTGCCTACTTTTTACAGTAGATGTCAAATTCACTTCACGTTTAATGGAATATATAGCAGAAACTGCGATCATGTTTTTTATATAACAAATAGATTTGCATTTCCAGAAGAAAAGCACTTGCTAGTTTTACAAACCAGAGCCATGTTGCAGTCATCATGACACTCTTTTTGTCACTGTGTCTGTTTAGGAGAATCAACTTAACATATTTTAAAATTAGTTCCTTGAATTGACTACTTCCTATACCCATTGCACTTCATGAAGGGGTGCAGTTAGAGCTGCACAATTATGACAAAAAAACTGTCAATTATTTCACTTGATATTTTAATTGTGATTATCAGGGCTTGACATTAACACCCACCAAATACGGTTGGATTTTAGCAGTGGCGTGTAAAGGCCCTTGCACACTGAGTCCGAAATTCGCATCCGAAATTTTCGCAGGTTAAAAAATAAATACGACCTCATGTTATGTCAATCACGCTTGCACACTGCCTCCGAAACTTTCGTGCGTCATAAAAAAAATCGGATCGGGTTCGATTTTCGGCGCTTTTCACACCCGTAGCAAGCAGTTTGAATGGTGTTTTGACAATTCAGAGCCCCCGAATAACGAATACGAAAAAACGCATACGAAAATTTCGGACTCATTGTGCAAGGGCCTTAACGCAGTCACTCCTACTAACCACTTTGGCGGGTTTCATTTTATATATGATATATACATTTTTCAATTGTAGTCTGAAAGCTTTTTAAAAGTAGCTAAATTGCCAAACACCATACATCTTTCGTCACTAGTATTACTTTGGTAAAAAAAAAAAGTAATGTGATGATGATGTGATGTGTGTAGCCAATTATGGTGTCTCATACTCGGAATTTGTGCTCTACATTTCACCCATCCAAGTGCGCACACACACAGCAGTGAGTAGTGAACACACACACCATGAACAGCCATGTTTGCTGCACCGCCCAGGGAGCGATTGGGGGTTAGGTGCACCTCAGTTGTGGGTAATCAGAGTGGAAGAGATTTATGTTTATTCACTCCCCCCACCTACATTTCCTGCCAGTACTGAGACTCGAACCTGCGACCTTCGGGTTACAAGTCCGACTCTCTAACTCTCTAACAAAAAGTGAACAATAAATGGGTTAAACTGCTGCATCCATGTCTCTTGTTTATAGCCACAAGATGACAAAATGTTGCTATGGCTATTACTGTCAATCATGGCAATTTCATCAGTGACTCACACAGAGCATTATAATTTAGTGGATTCACTACCACATTTAAATGCAAACTTTGGACCTGAAAAATGAAAAAAATATTATTTTTGTCAAATTGTGAATGCATTATACAGAGAGTAAGCAAAAAAAACTCTGCCTTTATAATCAGTGAAGCTGTCAATCACTACATTTTAGCACAAGCTCACACTGCAAACTAGACTGCACAGTGGATCTGTTGTCTACACTATCTCTACACATGAGAGGATTCATGAATGTTATTATTTTATTCACATATAAACATCAACGCACACACAGCTGATCAAATATGGGAAGCTCAAACGTGCTTGCTTCACGTGAGGTTTTTTCTTGTGAGTCAAGCATGTACGTTTTAGCTATTTATCATATTTAATCATCTCTATCTATGTGCGCTGAACAATGTTTATAGGCGAATACAATCTAAATTAAATCTGTTCATGAAATAAAGCAAATGTTTATCTTCAGAAGACTTGGATTAAAAAGCTTGATTCACTTTTACAATGTATTTATGAACTTTTAGGTTGGAAATTGTAATGGATGGACACAAAATGATTAGAGAATATAAAAAAAAAACCATTTCAAAATCATTTGTGTTTTGAACTATAAAGTCTTATGGGTTTGGAACAACATGAGCGTGGGTAAAGGACAGAATTTTCATTTTTAAAATTGAAAATTTTAACTTCCTGAGGTTTGAAGCTTAAGCACCTCTTTTCAACTGACCATTTGTTGAAAAAGACAATTATCATTAGTTCACCCAAAAATGAAAATTCTGTCATAATTTGCTCACCCTCAATCTGTTCCAAACCTGTATGAATTTCTTTCTTCTGCTGAACACAAAAGATGATATTTTGAAGAATGTTGGTATCCAAACAGTTGATGGGCTTCATTGACTTCCATGGTATTTTTTTTCCCCATACTATGAAAGTCAATGGGGCCCATCAACTGTTTGGTTACCCATAATCTTCAAAATATCTTCTGTTGTGTTCAGCAGAAGAAAGAAATTAATTTGTTTTCAACAATGCTTCTTTTCTTTATTTTAAAGAGAAGTCTTAATATTTATCCATTTCGGGTCCTAATTTTGGCAATGACTAGAACATGAAGCTTTGTGCCGTGCTTCTTATATTTATCGAGCAGTAAAATCGTCCCTTCCCATTGATGAGAGTCCGAAACAAGGACTGGTAGGACATTGTCCTGCTCCACTTCACATACGATGAGTGGAAGGAGAATTTTAGAATGACACAACAGCCATTTATGACTCTTCACTCAACAACAACAGCTCGTTCCATGCGCCATGTCATTACCACATTTCTACATCATTGCACATGCACAGTACTTTCCAGTTTTGGGTTTCAATCCGATCAAGTGTTTACATGTCCTCTCGATCAGATTAGACCCCTTATAAATTTTAATTGGATTATTTGGCAAATTCATTTCGATTGACGTGGTTAAATGGTGCAACTAGGCCTAGTCCAATTCTATTTGAATTATTAGGGTCCATGTAAACGTATTTCAAATTTACAATTATATGTTAAAAATAAAAAAGACCTTTCAAATGTGTTTGAGGTTGTTTTTTTTGTTTTTTTTTGTGGATAATTTAAAGTCCATGCAAGGGCAAACATCCGCTGGTTTATCTGGAAAACTTCCTTAAATTATCCTTTGATTCTCAGAGCACTAAGATCTGCAGACATAAAGCTTCTTACACATACAAATTTTAACATATAGAAGACAAGTCAACAAACTTAAAATTGAATGTGGCCGTCTATAAACATTAAATGCGAAACGAGTTTACTACATATAGCTATACATAAAATAAAAAAAGCGCCCAAAGATCTTAAAACACTGGATGAAACCCATAAAACTGGGACTTGCAAACTACTGATCTCCCCAAGCACAATGCAGCATGGGTAGAATAATAGGCATCACATTTCCAGGCTAAGGTTTCTGGATTGAGACAGATACTGCTGCTGCCTGCTAGCCTGGCGCCCAGTGCTCTGATCAATGACCTACATCATTGAAAATGCAGGCTATTGTGCTGTGCTTAAGACAGGTTTAATCCAGGTCAACAACCCCCTCCTCTATAATGTGTCTCTCAAAAGATTCACATTACATGCGATATCTTGCCCAGCGACACAACAACTGAAGGCTAGCCAACTTCCCCAATGCCATTTAGCCTTTAACACCGGAGCGAAAATGATAGTTAACCGGTGAATGTCAGGTTTTGATGCAAAAAAAAAGTACATTTTAAGAGTTTTAAAATATTATGTTATGTAGCCTACGTAAAGCCAAATATAAATTTGCATACAAGATGATGCAGAACAAACCTAAGAGTGGATTACAAACAAAGTCAACGCATATTTCCGCATTGCTTTGTTTTCTGTAAAGCGAACTGACATTTTCTGTGAGAATTATGTTGTTTTTTTCTGCTAGTCAGACAGTGGATGTGATTTCACCAAGTACAACATGTTCCTGGGTCAACATCTTTGACAGAATCAGATTTGAGGGACACATTTACAGTTTATCTCAAGTGTAGGCTTACAACCAGGGTTAGGTGTTTCTACATCAGAGTTATCCACCATTTCCATCATTTCCCCCTTGATTTTAGGTACAAGTTATTGGTACGGCTAGTAGGTTTAAGGGTGAGGATAGGGTTAGGGCTACATATTCAGACAGGAATGTTGTTCCAGAATCAACAAAACATGTTGATCAATGAAACATGTCTAACTTGGCAAAAACACGGTGACCCTAATCAACTGAATTTATAGAAGATCTGCTTTTGGAACCGCCACTATCAAGTGTTTTAACCTTTAAAATAAATTGATGGCAAACTTCTACAGATGTGTGAACATCTATGGGCATACAGAAAAAAAGGCTTCAGCTCCACAGTGAGAAATTTATAGCAAAGCTGCAATAATTGCAAATCCAAGTGCTTATCCAAAATAGATGTTTTATTTTAGCTCTAGACTATCTAATATTACTTTGCATGTACACATCCCTAGGGCATACGCGGTGTATTGTGTAACCAGCGTAGGGCAAGTAAATGCAAAAGATC